TTGTTTCTTTATTTTATTTTTTACATTACTTTTTATTGTTGTTATTGCGGTTAGTTGCCGTCCCCTTGATATTGAATCATGGTGACCCATATGTGCAGAGTGAACATGCTCCACAGGCTTTTCAATGCAGGGATCTTTCAGAAGCAGATCTCCTGGACTGCCTTCCCCATTGCCTCTGGGTGAGTTTGAACTGCCAACCTTTCTGCTAGAAGTCAAGTGCGTAACCATTTGCACTACCCAGGGACCCCTAGAGAGTGCTGAACAGTGTGCAATACTGCCTACAGTAATGTGGAGATGGACCTCAAAAGGAAGCATTGAGTTCAGAAACTAAGAGGTCATGGTCACTATGGCTGTAGTGTCTCAACCAGGTCCTGGAATGAAGGCACTCACAGTTGACTCAAGACTCCAGAACAGGTGAAACTGCAAGAAAGATGACAGGTCATATCAACCTCAGAGTGTTAGCTAGAATGATCAGGCCCATTCATTTATTCATTACTTTTCTTGCTTCCTTTAAACAAGTGTTTTCTCAATGCTGATAATAAGCCAGGCTCCAAACTGAGGGCTCGAAATACAGTCATTCACAAGGTGGACATGACTCCTCCTTGCTGAAGGCGACAACCTATGCTTTGGTAGGAAGTACACAGTCTGGGGTCAGATTTCCTGGGTCAGAATCAGGCTTAGCCTCTCACTGGCATTTTGATCTGGGCAAGTGATGTAATCTCTCTGTGTCTCAGTTTCCTCAGCAGCAGAGCGGGGAGGGTCAGTGACTCCTTCACAGGGCTGTTGCTCTATCGAATGACTGAACACCTTGCAAGCCCATGAACAGGGCACAGAGTGAGCAGGATCACCTGGGGTCAAGAACTTGGGCTCTGGAGGGGCACTTGCTCCATAGTCAGTGTAGGACAGAGGCCAATGAAACGGTGATGGGGCTTCAGTTTTCTCCAGTAGTCCTTGCCATCTGAATCAGCTCCCAGAATGTGGCCTTTCTGGTTAATTTAGCGTTAGCACTTTGCAAGGTGAACCAAGGTGAATGCAGCAATACAAAGGGGGATATCTCCTGAAAAGGATGGGGAGCAGGAGAGCACAGAATGAAAACAGATCCCCAGGCCTTTTCTTGCTTGGCACAGCTGGGTGGGTTTGAACCACCAACCTTTAGGTTAGCAGTCAAGTGCAAACTATTTGTGCCACCAAGGGACCTTAACAAATCAATACATAACCTTGTTTTATGTGTATTTCTGTTTAAAGATGTATCATAGATATAACATATATATAGATATATATCTCAATATATATGTGTATATCATTGATTCATTAAATATATATATTTAAATATATATCATTGATTCATTAACATTGAACCCATAGACAACAACATTATAACTTGTGCCTGAATGAAGTGTATCAAACACACGTTTTTCTCTATAAGGCACATCACAGCCTTCTTACACTTAGGAACAGTAGACAGCACTTCAGCACTACCCTTGGGGGCCATTTTGAACCACAAAATAACCAACAAAAATGTACAAAAAAAAAGTGGTACTAAATAGAATGTGTAAAGGACAGTTGTTTACAGTATGAGAGCTGAAATAGGAAAGCAGAACATTGCCTTGTTTAACCTCCACTGATAACTAGCATGTCAGGCGGCTCAAATTTTTCACAAAAATAACCACAAAAGCATCACAAGTATTTATTTAGAGGTTATAAATAAATTTTACCAAGTAGGCATATTTGCAAATATGGAATCTGTGAATAATGATGATTGACTTTTCCAATACACATACACACATATTATTTCCCTTTCATTATAATATTATATTTCCTCTATATAATGTTATATTTTCTCTATAATATTGAATCCCACAAATTTTTATATGCTATCTTCATTTTCCTTCAATCCAAAAAATTTTCTAATTTACCATTTGATTTTTCTTTGATCTATGGGATAGTTAAGAGAGTGATGATTAATATTTGAAGATTTTTCCAGTCAACTTCCTGATATCTTTTCCATATTTTATGTTTTCAATTTACTTTCATGTCATCAATTGTATTCTTTATTATTCCATCTATATTTCATAATTAACATTTCCTTTATCTTTTGCTGGGTTATATAATTGGTACATTTTCTTATGTCCTCGGGTGATATTATTGCACTAAATTTTGTTAATGTACCTGCACGGGTATACTGAATTCCAAACAGGTGCAATAGTTGAAGTAAGGAGCTGTCAAGGTGCCGATTGTCTTAATCCACAGTTCCAGGTGGACACAAACGCACTGAAAGGGCTTCTACTCTGTCATTTCCACTGCTTGCACCACTCAAATCCATGAAGACCAATTAAATAAAAAGGAACCCGTTGCCATGAAGTCCATTCTGACTCATAGCGACCCTATAGGACAGGGTAGAACTGCTCCATAGTGTTTCCTAGGATGTAATCATTAAGGAAGCTGATTGCCAGGTCTTTCTCTTGTGGAGCCACTGGTGGGTTCAAACCACCAACCTTTTGGTTAGCAGGCAAGCACTGTAACCACTACACCACCAGGGCCCTTTTCATCCGTGAGCGCCCTCCCTTAAAAGAGCATTTGCATCAATTTCAGTGCGATTCATTATCTCTCGCTTGAAACCCCTTCCATACCACATACCCCCCTCAGTTGATATTACGTCATGAATATAACCCTGTTGGCGTAAATGGTCTCTGTGAGTCAGAATCCATTCAAAAGCACACAACAGTCATGGAGTCGATTCTGACTCATAGCGACCTCGTGTTACAGAGTAGAACTGCTCTATAGAGTATTCTTAGCTGTAATATTTCACCTAAGAAAAGAAGCAGATCTCTAAGCGTTTCTGCTGCAGCTCAGCTGGGTGGGTTCAACCGCCAACCTTTGGTTAACAGATGAGCACGAACCATTTGCGCCCCCCTCCCAGCCCCCCGCGCCATGTCGGAGCCCTGGTGGCCCAATGGTTAAGAACTCAGCCGCTAACCAAAAGGCCGGCAGTTTCAATCCACCAGACCCTCCTTGAAACACCTATGCGGCAGTTCTACTCTGTCCTGCTGGGTTGCTATGAGTCGGAATCAACTCAACAGCAACAAGTTTTTCAATGGGTTAGGGACCATGTCATAATTATACTCATAGATAATATTGCAAGCGAAGGACTCTTTAGGAATGTGGTGATGATTTCCCATCCCCTAATGCGCTGCCCTTGGGTTAGATGGGAAGTGATGGTTGTTATTGTTTGATGCCATTGAGTTGGCTGCCTTCACTGGTGACACCATGTGTTACAGAGTAGAATTGCCGCATAGGTTTTCTTGGCTATAATCTTTACAGATGCAGTCGCCATCCCTTTCTTCCGTGGAGCCACTGACTGGGTAGGTTCAAATTGCCAACCCCTGTGTTAGCAGACAATCACAAACTGCTTGCAAGAACAGGGCTCCTTATGAGGTGATGGTAAACCATCTGAAATTATGACATGATGGAAATTTGGCAGATTATACAACTAGAAATTATACAGCTATGGAGCTTCAGACTTTTATTTTGGCTTTTAAGGATCAGCTTAAATTGCACATTCCAGGGGATTCTGAAGTGAGTTCCGACACAAGGTCAGTGACTACTGCTATTTTCAATTCTTAGAAGCTTTTACTGATATTAATTGCAGGTTTATTGAAATTATATTCAACTACTTATAAACTAATGGTTTTAAATTGCTTACTCTGTTGATATCTCTTATCTACAATAAGGTGGAATTCATCTCTCATCTACAACTGTATATTGGGTGCATGGTATAAAAAGTCTAGATACGTAAAATATATGATTAATAAATAATAAATATTCTACAAAGAAGAGGTTATTTATCATTCTAACTATGGCTTAGGAAAGTTTATTTATTCATCCCCCAAGTAAAACTGAGCCTGGAGATATGGACAACCCTGCTCATCAGCACAAAAGAGCTACCGGATAGAAAACACGCAGCCACAAGTGTGCTGATATTGTACAGCCAGATGTTTTGACTGGCAAAGAATGCCATGTAAAATGCCAAGATGGAAGAAATGGAGTAAAAGGAGACAAAGATGCTCACCAGCACCAGGATTGTGTGGGTGGCTCTGGTCTCGGGGGAGGTTTTATGGGAGAGGAGCTTGTTCTGAATGGGTTGGAGTCGCTGCTTATGCCTGTACAAAATAAACACCATGGAGCTGCTGGCCCAGACCATGAGTCCTAGAAACTTAAAATCAGCAGAAGAAAGCAGAAAGGCATAGAGTAGTAAGATAAATGAATGCTGATGGATACCATTGCAGTATGCAAAATCACTTCTCATGGTAGTGTTTCTGTCATGGTTTGGCCCAGTCACCCTTAAAAGAATAACAATTTGTAACAGAAGATTGAGGATCCAGCAGGTGTAACAGGAGGAGACAATATGGTCTGAGGCTCTCGTTTTGAGCTCGGTCCACTTGGGTGCACTGGAGCTGACTGTGATGGCCTGGAAGCCACTCAGGAGGCAGGTGGTGCAGATGGAGGCCACCCAGGCCACTCGGTGAAGGTAGAAGAGGAGTTTACAGCTCACATCACCAAGGAAATCTTTCAGCCCCAGAGCTGTCATGGCCTGAGGGACCCCCTTAGAGAGAAGCACCAAGGTGCTGGCTGAACACAGGTGGCTGAGAATCAGGTCAATAGGCTTTAGTTTGTGTTCAGCAAATAACAAGGACAAGTGTAGACATAAAAGTGAGGAGTTCCCCAGGAGCCCAGCACCAGTCTGAAGGAGGAAGATAACCCCAAATACCAAGTCCTTGGAAATCATTGGGCTGCTAGTTATAGACTTAACATTTTCCTCAAAGCCTGAGAAATCTGGAATGAAGAAAAAGTCTTGAAAACAAACACATGTAATTTGTAATTGTTTCAGATCCACAGAAATTGAGTCACAGCTACCCAAGAAACGAGCTTCTGACTGAAGATTTCAGGGTTAGTATCATTCAATATGCATGTGAAGCCTGGAAAATGAAGGAGGAAAACGGAAGAAGAATTGACGCATTTAAAATTTTGGTGTTGGTGAAGAATATTTAATATACCACAGACTTCCAGAAGAATGAACATAATCTGTCTGGGGAGAAGTACAGTCAGAATGCTCCTTAGAAGCAAAGATGGTGAGAAAAAGAAAATCCCCTCAACAAGATGGACTGACATAGTCGCTAGCAACAATTGCTAGCATGGCTCAGGACCGGCAGTTTTTCATTCTGTCATACTGTTACCTAAAGTAGGTCCTGCTCAGTGTGGCTTCTCGTCAATAAAGATACACTCAGGTGAGGAGGGAAGAAGAGCATTTATTGCAAGCCCACTGGCAAGGAGCAAGGAGATGTATACCTCAAATCAAGCTCCCCAAACAAAAGGAGGCAGAATCTTTTATACTGTCCTTTACAAGTAAGTACATACAAATATCATGGACTACATAGGTTATCATGGCGCACGGCCACAGTAAAGACAATTTGCTTTTTTTTCCCCACTTAGTATGTACAGAAAATGGTGGATAAGTCCCACCCTGGGCAGAGATCTTACACTTTTGAAGCTAGTAAACTGCATTTGACTGGTTCAAGGCAGGAACTGAGCCACATGCAGCATTCAGGGTCTTCGAGGACAATGGACAGGAGGGGGCAGGTTCCACTTGGTAATGGCTGAACAGCTGCTAATCCAGCCACGCACAGTGCTGTCTATCACTTAAGGTTTTGCTTGATAATGGACAGAAGGAGCAGGTCTTGCTTGGTAATGACTAAATAGCTGCTGGCTGCGTTGGCTATCAATCCCTCCTTCTCTTTGGGGATATGGCGATAAGCCATAGTCCCTTGGTTGTGGAGAGAATAAAGGACAGCAAAGAATACAAATACTCTTGTACAGTTTTTTCACTTAATACAATTAAATGGTCACTATTTGTCAGCCCATGATTTTTCAGGAGGGGCTTCCGGTAGACTAGCTCAAAAGGGTTTAATTTGAGCTCTTCTGGGAGGCGCCCTAATCCCAAGCAAGGCTATAGAAGAACCCATATTTATGTTAATTTCCCTTCTTGGCACACCTTTGTTATGTGTCTTTTAAGTGTCTGGTTCATTCTTCCAAAGTTTCCACTGGATTATGGTCTCCAGGCTGCATGTAGTCAGCCATTTGATGTCCAAGAAACATGCGACTTTTTGGGTTACGCAGCTGCAAAGTGAGTCCGTTATCACTTCCTATGGAAGCAGGTCATCCAAACTGTGGAGTGATGTCATATTTAGCTACTTCTTTAGCTTTTTAAGTTCTACATGGGAAGGCTTCAACCCAACTGGAAAAGGTATCTACAAAAACTAAAAGATCCTTGTAGTTTCCAATGGTGCAAGGCATTTCAGTAAAATCTAATTGCCAATCTTCTCTGGGTGCTGGGCCTTGGTACTATATTCCAGGCTAGAAGGGAGGATGATGAGTTTTTGGAACTAGAACTTTTCCTTGCAGAGTATATTTCCAGTTTACTACATCTTGAGTGGTTCTCCACTCTTCAGACCTTTTGAGGTCTTCTTCTGAATATCCTTGGTCTTCTTTAGGAGTTTCTATCTAGGGTATCAAAGGGGCCTCAGGTGCAGATCATGATTGCATTTTGGCCACTGCTTTTATGGCTTCATCAGCTCTCCGGTTTCCTTTAATAACGTCTGTATCTCCTTTCTGGTGTCCTTGACAATGGATGACAGCAACTTTCCTTGGTAACCAGACAGCTTCTAGTACCTGGAGGATTTCTGTTGCATATTTAATTTCCTGTCTGCAGTATTGAGGAGGCCCCTTTCTTTCCCAACTGCTCCATGGGCATGCAAAATTCCAAAAACATACTTTGAGTCTGTGTGAACATTCACTGTTTTACATTTTGATAGTTGAAGAGCCCTTATCATGGCAATGAGCTCAGCCCTTTGAGCCGAGGTTCCTGGTGGAAGCGGTTCAGCTTCAAGGATTTCCCAGACAGTCACTACAGCATATCCAGCATCTCTTGTTTCATTCTCCATGAAGATACTTCTATCTGTAAAGATCTCAAGGTCAGGGTTTTGGAGAAGCTCATCACTCAAATCAGGTCTGCTGGAATAAACTTCATTTATCATTTGTATGCAATCGTGTCCCAAACCAAGCGTGGTTTGTGAAGGCAACAATGTAGCTGGGTTTAAGGTGGTTATTTCTTTTAAAGTTATATCTGGGTTGTCTAATAAGGCAGCTTGGTACTTGGCACCTTCCACCCTGCTGTCATCCAGTGGGCCTCTTTCTGTTCTAATATTGTCAAGACCAAATGAGGAACAAACATGGTGGTTGGTTGCCCCAAACTTAGCTTTTCTGCCCCTGTTAAAATTAACACTGTGGCTGCCACAGCTTGTAGACAGGCAGGCATCCCATAGTGGTCATGTCTAGAACCTTGGAAAAATAAGCAATAGGTTGTCACCAGTCCCCCAACTTTTGGGTTAGGATGCCTGCTGCTATTCCCTCACTCTCAGGCATGAACAGTTTAAAGGGTTTTGCTAGACTGGGGAGCCCCAGGGCTGGGGTTGATATGAATTTTTCTTTAATTGTCTGGAAGGTTTTTTGTTGTTCATCAGTCCAAATAAAAGAATCTGAATCTTTTCCTTTAGTTGCTTTATATAAAGGTTTGGCTATTAGTCCAAAGTTGGGACTCCAGATTCTGCAAAAAACTGCCATTCCAGGAATCCTCAGCATTGCCTCTGGGACCTGGAAGGTGAGATTGCACAAGCAGTCTCTTTTCTCTCTGGCAGCAGTTCTCTTTTTCCCTGAGAGATCCAGAATCCCAGGAATGTAATCTTGGCTTGAGAAATCTGGACCTTAGGTCTCAATATTTTGTACCCAGCCTGGCCCAGAAAGTTAAGAGTGGTGATAGTGTTTACATCTGATTATTCTCTAGTCTTGCTCGCTATGAGCAAGTCATCGACATATTGAAGCAAAACTCCGTTTAGGAGGGTTAACTGTCTTAAGTCTTTAGCCAGAGTTGTACCAAACAATGTGGGCTATTTTTGAACCCCTGTGGGAGTACAGTCCAGTAGAACTATTGTTTATCACCCCTTTGGGGGTACTCCCATTCAAAGGCAAACAGTTCTCGGCTTTCAGACTCTAATGGTATACAAAATAAGGCATCTTTTAAGTCTATAACAGTAAACCAGGCAAAATCTTCTGGAAGAGTGGCTAGCAAAATATATGGATTTGGTACTACAGGATGGACTGTAACTACTATTTGGTTAATTGCTCTGAAGTCTTGAACAAAACTATACTCATTGGAATGAGGTTTCTTTACAGGCAAAATTGGTGTATTATAAGTGGATTGGCATGGTCTTATGAGTCCAAATTCTAGATATTAGTGGATAAGTGAGCAGAGGCTTCATTTCGCCTCTAGCCTTAGAGGGTATTGCTTCATCCATGGTGGGTAGATTCCTGGTAACACTTCAACTTCCACTGGAACAACATTTTTAGCTCACCCTGGTTGCCCTTGTACCCCTACCCAAGGGATTACTGCATCCTTTATCTTTTTAGGCACAGTCTTAATGGGGGCTGCAATGGGCATCATGAGAGTCAACAGGTGGGACTGTATTCTCCATCCTTGCTCCTTAGGTACTATTAAATTTAGTTTACCATCTTGGAAACGGATTTGAGCTTGTAATTTAAAAGGCACATCTCACTTTAGTAAAGAAACTGGGCACTCTGGCATGTAGAGAAAAGAGTAAGTTAAAGTAGATTCATCGACCAAACATTCCACAGGTTGGATAAAATTCCTAGTAACCCTTCTTCCCGTAACTCCCACCACTGATATTGATTACTTTGATAATGTCCCTTCAGATTATTAATAACCAAATGGGTGGCTCCTGTGTCCAATAAAAAGTCAATCATTTCTCCCCTAACCTTTACTTTAACCAGGGGCTCCTAGGAGGAAATTGGAATAAGATTGGCCTCTGGTCCCCCTCAGTCCAATTCTTTCCCTTGTTGTATCATAACCTTTTTGGGTTCCTTTGGGGCCCTCTGTCTCTTAGGGCATTCTCTCTTCCAATGTCCTTTCTGTTTACACCACATGCATTGGTTTTTCCCTAGATTAGGCCAGGTCCCAGACCTTGGGGAAACCTTCCTCTTGACTGGAAGGCTGCTGAAAGCATAGTTACTTGCTGCTTGGTGCCTTTCTCTCCTGTACTTGTTCTCGATTAGAATAGACCTTGAAGGCTATTTCTACCAACTGTAAGATTCCCATTCCCACACTGCCTTCTACTTTCTGTAATTTCTTTCTTATGTCAGGGGCACTTTGCTCTATGAAGATCATATTCACCATACAAGTATTTTCAAGCATCTCAGGATTTGGATCAGTAAATTGTCTGAAAATGGTGAAAATTCATTCAAGGAAGGCAGAGGCATCTTCCTCCGGTTTTTGTTTAATTTCATACACCTTGTTTAAATTCTTTTGTTTGGGTGCCCCATGTTTGAGCCCAGTTAGCAAGCATTCATGGCACTGATAAAATCTGGCATGGCCAGCCTGGGTGTTTGGGTCCCAACCTGGTTCAGTGGCCAGCACAGCCAAATCCACAGGGGGGTTGCCATTGGCATTTTCCTGGTGGAGCCTATCTGCTTCTTCCCTGGTCTTTTCAAAAACCATTCTCCTCTCCTCCAGAGTGAATAAAATATCACATAAGGCTTGACAATCTGCCCAATTTGCATAGTGAGTTTTAAAAATAGAAACAAAAAGATCATGCATTTCCTTAGGATCCTCTCAGTATGCTGGTAGATTGTTTTTCCAATAGAGTAAGTCAGGATTCATGAATGGACTATGTACCCAGACTGGGGTAGGGACTCCTGTTACACTGTCCTCACCTCCACCTGGTGCAGGGAGTTCCCTCAAAGAGTACAGCCCTGTTGAGGGTCCTGAGGCCCACGGACCAAATCGGGCACCACTTTGAGTGTTTGCCGGGGAAAGCATCTTAGCACTGGAGGCCTCCAGGGTGAATGAAGGGTTTACAGGATAAAGGGGAGGTCTATGGCCTCTGGTTAAAACCAGGTCCTCTTCTAGAGGCCTAGACAAAACAAGCATTTTACTACTCTGTTTGCACCGTGATTTTACATTGTTTTCACAAACTCTTATTTTGCCACAATGACATAAAAGCTTCAACATACATTTTCTCATCGCACTTCCCTTTGTCACCAGAAAAAAAAGTCGATTCCAACTCATAGTGACCCTACAGGACAGAGTAGAACTGCACCATAGGGTTTCCAAGGAGTGCCTGGTGGATTCGAACTGCCAACCTTTTGGTTAGCAGTTAAACTCTTAATAACTATGCCAACAGGGTTTCCTTCCTTCTTTAGTGCAGAACAAATCTAACTGCAGTGTGGTGTCATAATTTAAAGATCCATTCTCAGGCCAGTGTTCGCTGTCCCCGAGCTCCTATGGGGGCCAGGCAGTGTTAGAATGAAATTTCATTTTAGACTTTTTCATTGAGTCATATCCAAAATAAGACCAATTCTTTAAAATACACCCTAGAGGACTACATTCTGGAATGCTGAAATTATTTCCCATGGTACCAAACCTTAAACTACAGATGCCTATTTAAAACAAAAGTATTTGACTCAACCTTCACTGGCTAAGCATTACCAGAATCTACAGTCTGTCTTTCTACAAATAGGATTTATTTCTATACCAAACATGGAGACTAAGACATCTATTCAAAATGAAAGCATTTGACCCAACTTTCAGTAGCTAAAAACTACCAGATCAACAGTCTATCCACTTTTTGAACAATGGGACTTATTTCTGTACTCACCAAGAGAGTCTTTTCCCTCTTCCGGGGGCAACTGACACCATTCTTTCTCCTCTTCATGTAGTGTGTCACCAAGGGGTCAAAGGTCAGCTCCAGCCACAAGGGCTGAAACGAATCCCCCTCCGGAAAAAGGTTAATCAGTGTGCACTTGAGAGAAGTGGTCAGTTCCTGTTGGCCGGAGGTGATCTCAGGAGTCGGGCAGTCCTGGTCCCATCTGTATTACCAGAATTTATTACCCTAAGCAGGTCCTGTTTGGTGTGGCTTCTCGTCAATAAAGACATGCTGAGGCAAGGAGGAAGAGTGTTTATGGCAAGCATGCAAGCAAGGATCAAGGAAGTGTATACCTCAACTCAAGCCCCCCAAAGGGAGGCATGACATTTTATATCACCCTTCATAAGGAATTACATACAAATATCATGGACTACATAGGTTATCATGGCACCCAGGTGCAGTAAGACAAATTACATTTTTTTCCTTCAGTATGTACAGAAAATGGTGGATAAGTCCTATCTTGGATGGAGAGCTTACACTTTTGAGGCTAGTAAACTGCGTTTGACTGGCTTAAGGTGGGAATTGCGCCAAATGCAGTGTTCAGGGTCTTTGAGGACAATGGACAGGAAGGGGCAAGTTCTGCTTGGTAATGACTGAGCAGATGCTAATTGTGCCACACACAGTGCTGTCTATCACTTAAGGTTTTGCTTGATAATGGACAGGAGAAGTAGGTCTTGCTTGATAACGACTAAGCAGCTGCTGTCCGCATTGGCTATCAGTACTTAGGGGCGCTATGAGTCTGACCCGACTCCACGGCACCTAACAACAACAACATCACTTGTCAGAACACTTCCAGGTAAAATTACCCACAATCCTTCACACTTGTTACTCATCTTGGCTTTTCCACTGTGCAGTCCAAGGTTGTTTATCAAACAGCGCCATCTACTGTTTCTTTGTGAGCACAACATAGATAGTCCCTGGGTGATGCAGTTACCAAAAACCCGTTCCCCTTGGAGTAGATTCCAACTCATACAACCCTATAGGACAGAGTAGAACTGCCCCATAGGGTTTCCAAGGAGCACCTGGTGGATTCAAACAGCCCGCATTTTGGTTAGCAGCCGTAGCTCTATAGTGACCCTATAGGATTGGAGAATTGCCCCCATAGGTTTTCCAAGGAGCTGCTGCTGGATTCGAACTGCTCACATTTTGGTTAGCAGCCGTGGCTCTTAACCACTGCCATCCCACGGGTCCACAAACAGTTCAGTGCTTGACTAATGCCTGACCTCTGACAAGCCCATCTAACAAAATGTCTGTGTAGTAATGGTCAGTTGTTTCAGGGGAGTCCCTGGGTGGCATAAATGGTGAAGTGCTTGACCACTAGACGAAAGGTCGGCAGTTTGAACCCACCCAAAACCACCTCAGGAGACAGGCCTGGAGCTCTCCATCTGAAAAGTCACAGCACTGAAAACCATACAGAGTGCAGTTCTACTCTGCACACATGGGAATGCCATGAGTTGGAACTGACTCAACGGCAACCAACAACACCTCACAGTTACTTTTTTTTTTCCTGCAGCAATGTGCCTAGGCCCAATTACAGCATAAATCCTGCTTTCTCTTAATAAAAGAGCCAGAAGACCCAAGTTTTCAGGTAGGGTACAGACCCTGTTATTGCCCTCAAGATAAAGTGGCAATCTGACAGACATTCCAGGAAAGACTCTTCTCTCTGATAAAATAGATAGGCATGAAATTCCAGAGGCTTTTGATCCAACCCCTCTCCCTTGCCTTGTGTTCTTTCCTTGTGAGGACACATTACCAGGGCTGTGAGATGCCTATGAAGCAGCCAGCTGAGATGAGAACCAGCATCTTGAGGAGGACAGACTTCTTAAATGAAAGGAGTTGTGGTCCTTGAAAATCATCAAGTGACACACCATTTTTCTTGGAAGTTTTATCTCAAGAATTCCAATAAACTCAACAATAAATGTTGAATTTGTCTTTCTTAAAGATATAAGATATATTTTTATATAAGATAGATAAAAGAGTGACTACGTTGATTTAAGGTCCTTTATGTTTCAATCTGTTACACATAAGGTCACCATGAGTTGAAGCCAACTCGACGGCAACTAATAATAAAATGCTTACAGAAACTGGAAAAGAAAAATAAATATCCATGCAATTCTCACCTAGACACTGAGTGACCACTCATAATTTCAGATTTTAGCAATTCTATTTTATCCATATCTCATATGTAGAGAAATACTAGTAATTGGCCATATTGAACCAGGAAGAAATCTTGAATATTTCAAGTGGACGGCTATGTTTGATAAGTTAAAACACACGGAAGATAAAGGACTTAAAAACTGGTTTTCATACAGACCATCATCAATCATTGCAACAGTGAATTACAAAATGACATCCTGGATGTCAGAGAGAGAGAAGCAATAACTGATCCATACCTATCCCAACACATATTGCACGATGTTCTTTCTTTTCCATGCACCAAACAAACCACAAGAAAGCCATGAACATGATCTGCAGTCGCTGACCTGTTGGTAGCTTTTTTCTTTTTCTGTGTTTCCTATTGAAGGAGCTCACACTCATCCTCACAAAACAGACTCAGGCCACAGGACTCAGAATTGCAGAGAAGTTGGGCAGTAAGTGGTTTACAGAGTAGAAACACGGACAGAAGAGCAGGGGACCCTCTGGATGCGATAGAGAGAGCACAGTTGGAGATATGCTGACAATCTGAAGAGAGAAGAAAGAGAATCAGACAACACACGAAGTGACAGAGACCACTCAAACAATGGCAAACACAGCATGCCAATGGGAGAATTTCTTTTGTGAAATAAAAAACAGATAAAAACTTACACATGAGTAATGATTAATTGTATTCTGACATTTAATAGGAAACCACAAGTAAGTCATGCTTTCTGGTTAACTTTTATTTATTTTTAAGTTTGTCCATCAAAAAAATAATTCCAGCAGAAAACCTACGTAAAGGACCTATGAGTCAGAGACCAAGTCAAATGCAGGGAAAGCCACAGACGTACCTCTACCCACCCAGTTGTTCCTCATTCCTTTAGAAAACTGCCTAAAATTCAGGAAAAAGTTTTAGAGGTTTTATTGAATCAGGATTGGGTTCAGAACTAAAATTCAGGCTAAACAATGTCAAGTGTTAAAGGACATAACAGCAAATGAATGAGGCAGAAAGTCTCTGATCCACAGATAAATGGGGGTTCAGATAGAAAGACCCAGCAGAGAAGACAATGAGCAATGAATGGACTGGAACAACAGTTGTAGATTTTTAACAGAATCAACACCAGTAAGGCCCCCTCGTGAGAAGGATGGGCAAGGCTACAGGAAAGGTTTATTTTCCCAAGGGAGTGGTTTCTTGCTGCTGACTCCAGGAGAGATTCAGTACAAATGATTCTGATCCAAGTGAACACAGGGAGAGACACAATCAGAAAAGCAGCTTTGAGGCAGGCTGGCTTCTAGATCTATGTCATGGTTGGGACCCTGTGTGGGCTCTGGGCTTGACTATAATGTTGAGAGACAGCCTCCCCAAAATCCATAACAATGGGTGTGACATTTTACAAATTTGGCCAACCATCTTCATCAGCTGGTCTTGTGCCAAGCCAGCCTCTGACATAGCTCTACCTCCCCACACTCATTCCTTGTTCCTTTGGAGAACTGCCTAAAGTTTAGGAACATGTTTACGGTGTTTTATGGAATCAGGCTTGGGTTCGGCACTAAAATTCAGGACATACAGACTCAACCCCACATCCTGACTGAGAGACATGCACAGAGTGGTGAGGCTGTTCTGGATCAGCTCTATGGGCAGCTGAGGTGGGATTCCAGCTCTTTTTTTTTTTTTTTTTTTTTTATTGCTGAGTCTTATCCCATTGTGTGAATACACCAAGATGGTTTAGCCTTTCTACTGTTGATTAATACCTGGACTATTTCCTGTACTTGATTATTATAAATAAAGATGCTATGAGCATTCTTGTATAAGCTTTTTTTTTTTCTTGGATGATGATATAGAATGTTACCCTCCCCACAGTAAGCTCTCTTGTCCCCTTTCCCCCCTCTCCTGTCACCTTTCCTTCCTCTTGCCCCAAGCAACAGCTTTCTGGTTCTATCTATCACTGTGGTAGTCTTACCTGTTCTAGCTTCTTTCTTACAAGGACACTTCTGATTACAATAGGCGCTCCTGGATAATGCAAGATAGCCCTCATCTTAAGACACTAAAAATACCTAAATAAGTGGAAAAGTATGCCAAGTTCCTGGCTCAGAAGACTCAATATTTTAAGATTTCTGTTCTCACATATTCTCATTTAAAAATCCCAGTGGTCAGAATTGAGAAACCAGATGTAAATCCATCCACCTATGGTCACCTGATCTTTGACAAGGGCCCAAAGTCCATCAAATGGGGAAAAGACAGTCTTTTTAACAAATGGTGCTGGCAAAACTGGATGTCCATCTGCAAAATAATGAAACAGGACCCATACCTCACACCAAACACAAAAACTAATTCAAAATGGATTAAAGACTTAGATATAAAACCAAAAACTATAAAGATTAGAGAAGAAAAAATAGGATCAATACTAGAGGCCCTACTACATGGCATTAACAGGATACAAACCATAACTCAGAACAAACAAACTCCAGAAGATAAGCTAGATAACTGGGATCTTCTAAAAATTAAACACTTATGCTCATCAAAAGACTTCACCAAAATTGTAAAAAGAGAACCTACACACTGGGAAAAATTTTTTGGCTATGAAAAGTCCGACAAAGTTCTAATCTCTAAAATCTACAGAAAATCCAACACCTCTGCAACAAAAAGACAAATAATCCAATTAAAAAATGGGCAAAGGAAGTGAACAGACACTTCACCAAAGAAGACATTCAAGCAGCTAACAGACACATGAGGAAATGCTCACAATCACTAGTCATGAGAGAAATGCAAATCATAACCACAATGAGATACCATCTCACCCCAGCATTACTGGCATGAACAGAAAAACAGAAAATAACAAATTCTGGAGAGGCTGCGGGAAAATTGGAACTCTTATGCACTGCTAGTGGGAATGCAAAATTGTACAACAATTTTGGAAAATAGTATGGCACTTCCTTAGAAAGCTAGAAATAGCAATACCATAGGATCCAGCAATCCCACTCCTAGGAATATATCCTAGAGAAGTAAGAGCTGTCACATGAATAGACATATGCACAACCATTTTCATTGCCACATTGTTCACAATCACAGAAAGATAGAAACAACCTAGGTGCCCATCAACACATGAATGGATAAACAAACTAGGTGACATACACACAAAGGAGTACTACACAACAATAAAGAACAATGATGAATCTGTAAAACATCTCACAACATGGAAGCATCTGGAGGGCATTATGCTGAGTGAAATAAGTCAATCACAAAAGGACATATACTGTATGAGACCACTACTATAAAAACTCATGAAAAGGTTTACACACAAAAAGAAACAATCTTTGATGGTTAAGAGAGAGGGGAGGGGTGGGGATGAAAAAACACTAAATAGACAATAGGTAAGTTCTAACTTTAGTGAAGAGTAAGACAGTGCAAAATACTGGGGAAGCCAGCACAACTTGTCCAAGGCAAGGTCATGGACACTCCATAGACACATCGAGACTCCCTGAGGGACCGAATTGCTGGGCTGAGGGCTGGGGGGACCATGGTCTCAGGAAACATCTAGCTCAGTTGGTGTAACATAGTTTCAAAAGAAAACGTTTTACTTTCTACTTTGGTGAGTGGCATCTGGGGTCTTAAAAGCTTGTGAGCAGCCATCTAAGATACTCCACTGGTCTCACCCCATCAGAAGCAAGGGAGAATGAAGAAAACCAAAGACACAAGGCAATGATTAGTCCAAAGGACTAATAACCACAACTACCACAGCCTCCACCAGACTGAGTCCAGCACAACTGGATGGTGCCTGGCTACCACCACTGACTGCTCTGACAGGGATCACAATAGAGGATCTGGACAGAGCTGGAGAAAAATGTAGAACAAAATTCTAACTCACAAAAAAAGAACAGACTTACTGGCATGACACAGACTGGAGAAACCCTGAGAGTATGGCCCCCGAGCACCCTTTTAGCTCAGTAATGAAGTCACTCCTGAGGTTCACCCTTCAGCCAAAGATTAGACACACCCATAAAACAAAACAAGACTAAAGGGCACACCAGCCTAGGGGCAAGGACTAGAAGGCAGGAAGGGACAGGAAAACTGGTGATTGGTAACCCAAGGTCAAGAAGGGAGAGTGCTGACGTGTCATGGGGTTGGTAACCAATGTCACAAAACAATATGTGTACTAATTGTTTAATGAGAATCTAGTTTGTTCTATAAACCTTCAACTAAAGTACGATAAAAAAATTTTTTTTAAATCCCAGCAGTCTTGGTTTGTTTTTGTTTTTGTTTTTTTGTAGGAATTAGCAAACTGATTCTAAAGTATATATGGAAACGCAAAAGACCTAGAATACTCAAAATATCTTTTTAATAGAAGAACTAATACAGAGGACTTTAAGATCTGATTTCAAAACTTACTCTAAAATTATAGTAATGAGAGAGTGTGGTATTGGTACAAGGACAGACAATAGACCAATGGAAAAGAAAAGAGTCCACACACATCGTCAACTTATCTTCAACAAAGTTACCAAAGTAATTCAAGCAGGAAGCATAGTATTTTTGACAAATTATTCTGAAAAAAGTACTTATACATAAAAATAAATATAGAAAGAACCTCAATCCTTCCTCAAAACTTTTGCAAATTAACTCAAAATGGATCATGTATCTTAATGTAAGACAGAAAATGATATACCATTTTGAAGATAATATATGAGGAATGCTCTTTGTACTTGGTTTAGGCCAAGATTTCTCACATAGGAAACAAGAAATAATATATCATAAAAGAAAAATATGATAAACTTGTTGTTGTTATTGGTTGTTGTCGAGTCAATTCTGAAGGTCCTTAGGTCGTGCAAAAAGTTTGCACCATCTGCTAGCCTAAAGTTTGGTGGTTCCAACCCACCCAGAGGTACCAAGGAAGAAAAGGCCTGGAGTGTTAAGACTACAGCCAAACCCTATAGAGGAATTACTCTGTAACACATGGGGTCTGCATGATAAACTAAAGTTTAATAAAATTAAACATTCTTGAAGTTCAAAAGACACTGTTAAGAAAAGGCAAATGCCAGCCATGGCCTGAAAAAATATTTGGAAATCTATATCTAATAAATGATGGGTATCCAGAACATACAAAAAATCCTTAAAAATATAGTAAGAAAAATGACACGGTACAAAACTAGGCAAAATATCCGAACACATATTTCACCAACTATATATGCATGGTATGTAAAACTTAGAAAAAAAGTTCAGCATCATTAGTATCAAAGAAATACAAACGAAAACCACAATGAGATACCACTACACACTCATTCAAATAGCTGACATTAAAAGACTGACAATACCTAGCTTTTGAAGACATGAAAAACAAACAAACAAACTGGAGCTATCATACATTGTTTGTAAAAAACAAACAAACCCATTGCCATCAAGTCGATTCCAACTCATAGTGATCCTATAGGACAGAGTTTCCAAGGAAAAGCTGGTAGATTTGAACTGCTGATCTTGGGAAATCACTGTGAAAGTTTCTTATAAAGTTAAACATCCACATTGACACAGCAGTCTCATTTGTAGGTATAATCACAAGAGAAATGGAAATATGTGTTCACAGAAATAGTTACACTCTCAGAAATAGTTACCAGCAGTTTGATTCTTCAAAGCCCAAAACTGGAAAACACAAACAAAAACAAATGTCCATCCACAGGTGAATGAGTAATACATTGTGCTATATCCATAAAGGAGGTAGTATATGATGAAGAACCGATGGCATTGAAGGAAGAAGTCCAAGATGCACTGAAGGGAATGGCAAAAAACAAGGCTCTAGGAAATGACAGATTATTAATTGAGATGTTTCAACAAACGGATGCAGCACTGGAAGTGCTCGCTCGTCTACACCAAGAAATTTGGAAGACAGCTACCTGGCCAACCAATTGGAAGAGATCCATATTTGTGCACGTTTCAAAGAAAGGTGATCCAACAGAATGCAGAAATTATAGAACAATATCATTAATATCACACTCAAGTAAAATTTTGCTGAAGAGAATTCAAAAATGATTGCAGTAGTACATCGACAGGGAAGTGCCAGAAATTCAAGCCAGATATAGAAAAGGAAGTGGAATGAGGGATATCATTGCTGATGTTAGATGGATCCTGGCTGAAGGCAGAAAATACCAGAAAGATGTTTACCTGTGTTTTATTGACTATGCAATGGCATTCGACTGCGTGGATCATAACAAATTATGGATAACATGGCGAAGAATGGGAATTCCACAACACTTAATTGTGCTCGTGTGGAACCTGTTCATAGATGAAGAGGCAGTCGTTCGAACAGAACAGGGGATACTGCGTGATTTAAAATCAGGAAAGGTGTGCGTCAGGGTTGTATCCTTTCACCATACTTATTCAATCTGTATGCTGAGTAAATAATCTGAGAAGCTGGACTATAAGGAGAAGCACGTGGCGTCAGGACTGGAGGAAGACTCATTAACAACTTGCCTTATGCAGATGACACAACCTTGCTTGCTGAAAGTGAAGAGGACTTGAAGCACTTACTGATGAAGATCAAAGACCACCTCCTTCAGTATGAATTACATCTTAACATAAAGAAAACAAAAATCCTCACAACTGGACCAATAAGCAACATCATGATAAACGCAGAAAAGATTGAAGTTGTCAAGGACTTCATTTGACTTGGATCCACAATCAGCACCCATGGAAGCAGCAGTCAGGAAATCAGACTACGCATTGCATTGGGCAAATCTGCTGCAAAAGATCTTCTTAAAGTGTTAAAAAGCAAAGATGTCACTTTAAGGACTAAGGTGCACCTGACCCAAGCCATGGTGTTTTCAATTGCCTCATATGCATGAGAAAGCTGGACAATGTATAAGGAAGACCAAAGAAGAATTGATGCCTTTGAATTATGGTGTTGGTGAAGAATATCGAATATACCATGGAATTCCAGAAGAACAAACAAATCTGTTTTGGAAAAAGTACAGCCAGGATGCTCTTTAGAAGCAAGGATGGCAAGAGTTCGTCTCACGTACTTTGGACATGTTATCAGGAGGGACCAGTCCCTGGAGAAGGACATCATGCTTGGTGAAGTAGAGGGTCAGTGAAAAAGAGGAAGACGTTCAACAAGATGGACTGACACAGTGGCTGCAACAATGGGCTCAGGCATAACAACGATTGTGAGGATGGCCAGGACCGGGCAGTGTTTCGTTCTGTTGTACACAGGGTGGCTATTTGTCTGAACTGACT